TAAGAAAAACAGTAATAACATCTAAGATATGAACTAAGAAAAACATCAACTAAATATACACTAAGCACTCATAACATAAAACATTGAACATCACCACAAACATGAACATGAGTCTGTGAGCAGATGTGCACGCATGAACACATCAACATTGAAACAGATCAGCAGCAACATGAAACAGATCAGCAGCAACATGACATGGCTTTTCACAGTGATTACTCTAGTTAGAGATTCATGAGTCTAACAGCCTCAGGGTAGAAGCTGTTCCTCAGTCCAGTGGCTCCACACCCAATGCTCCTCAACCTCCCCCCTGAGGGGAGTGGGGCAAAAAGCGCGTGCGCTGGGTGGGTGGGGTCCCCCACGATGCAGGTGGCCCCCCTCCCGCATCCGGAGGTGCAGATGTCCGTGACGGTGGGGAGACCGACTCCAACAGACCTCCGTGCAGCCTCCACCACCCTCTGCAAAGCACTTAAAACAATTATTTGTTTGCTCGAAATTATAGCAAAGGTGTTTCTCAGTCTAACGTTTGATTAATAAATGCAATTTATTGGTCAAACCAGCTGCATTTCGCCGGGGCGGTGCAGCTGGTTTAACTTGCTCTAAGCAGCGAGCAGAACGAAGGTGGGGAAACTTGATCCAAGAGAGGGGACCACCCAAAACCCAACCTGAGACGTAAACAGGCACACAGAGACAGCCCGACGGACCCTCTGTCGGGCCGTCCATGTGCCCCACCAACCCGACAGCGACCGCAAGCCGGCCCCAGGCTGGGGCCAGAGCAGCAGGGAACAACAGCCAAGGATGGCATGCCTCTTTTGTCACGTATTGTGAGGGTTTGCTGGGAACGTCTGGCAGAGTCTCCTGTGAGACGGAGTTTCAACTCCCACCTCCGGGAGAACTTTGAACATGTTCCGAGGGAGGTGGGGGACATTGAGTCTGAGTGGACCATGTTTCGTGCCTCTATTGTCAAGGCGGCTTACCAGAGCTGCGGCCGCAAGGTTGTCGGTGCCTGTCGCGGCGGCAACCCTCGAACCCGATGGTGGACACCGTCGGTGAGGGATGCTGTCAGGCTGAAGAAGGAGTCCTATCGGGCCTTTTTGGCCTGTGGGACCCCGGAAGCAGCTGATGGGTACCGGCAGTCCAAGCGACATGCGGCTCGGGTGGTTGCTGAGGCAAAAACTCGGGCATGGGAGGAGTTCGGAGAGGCCATGGAGAATGACTTCCGCACGGCTTCGAGACGATTCTGGTCCACCATCCGGCATCTTAGGGGGGGAAAGCGGTACGCCACCAACACTGTTTATAGTGGGAGTGGTGTGCTGCTGACCTCAACTTGGGATGTTGTGGGTCGGTGGGCGGAATACTTTGAAGACCTCCTCAATCCCACCGGCACGTCTTCCACTGAGGAAGCGGAGCCTGGGGACACTGGGTCGGGCCCTCCAATCTCTGGTGCTGAGGTCACCGAGGTGGTTAAAAAGCTCCTCGGTGGCTGGGCCCCAAGGGTGGATGAGATTCGCCCAGAGTTCCTTAAGGCTCTGGATGTTGTAGGGTTGTGTTGGCTTACGCGACTCTGCAATATTGCGTGGACATCGGGGGAAGTTCCCCTGGATTGGCAGACCGGGGTGTTGGTCCCCCTATTCAAAAAGGGGGACCGTAGAGTGTGTTCCAACTACAGGGGAATCACGCTCTTAAGCCTCCCTGGTAAGGTCTATTCGGGTGTTCTGGAGAGGAGGGTCCGTCGGATAGTCGAACCTCGGATTCAGGAGGAACAGTGCGGTTTTCGTCCTGGCCGTGGAACACTGGACCAGCTCTACACTCTCAGCAGGGTCCTGGAGGGTGCATGGGAGTTTGCCCAACCAGTCTACATGTGCTTTGTGGACTTGGAGAAGGCGTTCGACCGCATCCCTCGGGGGGGCCCTGTTGGGGGTACTCTGGGAGTATGGGGTACCGGGCCCTTTGATACGGGCTGTCAGGTCCCTGTATGACCGGTGTCAGAGCCTGGTCCGCATTGCCAGCAGTAAGTCGGGCTTGTTCCCGGTGAGAGTTGGACTCCGCCAAGGTTGCCCTTTGTCACCGATTCTGTTCATAACTTTTATGGACGGAATTTCTAGGCGCAGCCAAGGTGTTGAGGCGATCCGTTTTGTTGGCCTTAGGATTGCGTCTCTGCTTTTTGCAGATGATGTGGTCTTATTGGCTTCATCAGATTGTGATCTACAGCTTTCGCTGGAGCGGTTCGCAGCCGAATGCGATGCGGCCGGGATGAAGATCAGTCCCTCCAAATCCGAGGCCATGGTCTTGAGCCGGAAAAGGGTAGAGTGCCCTCTCCGGGTCAGGGAGGAGGTTCTACCCCAAGTGGAGGAGTTCAAGTATCTTGGGGTCTTGTTCACGAATGAGGGAAAAATGGAGCATGAGATCGATAGGCGGATAGGTGCAGCATCTGTAGTGAAGCGGGCGCTGTACAGGTCTGTCGTGGTGAAGAGAGAGCTGAGTCAAAAGGCAAAGCTCTCAATTTACCGATCGATCTACGTTCCCACCCTCATCTATGGTCACGAGCTTTGGGTTGTGACCGAAAGAATGAGATCTCGAATACAAGCGGCCGAAATGAGTTTTCTCCGCAGGGTGTCTGGGCTCTCCCTTAGAGACAGGGTGAGAAGCTTGATCATCCGTGAGGGACTCGGAGTAGAGTCGCTGCTTCTCCACGTCGAGAGGAGCCAGTTGAGGTGGCTTGGGCATCTGTTTAGGATGCCTTCTTGACGCCTCCCTGGTGAGGTGTTCCGGACACGTCCCACCGGAAGGAGGCCCAGAGGAAGACCCAGGACACGCTGGAGGGACTATGTTTCTCTGCTGGCCTGGGAACGCCTCGGGATTCCCTCGGAAGAGCTGGCCCAAGTGGTTGGGGAGAGGGAAGTCTGGGCCTCCCTACTTAGGCTGCTACCCCCGCGACCCGACCCCGGATAAGCGGAAGAAAATGGATGGATGGATGGATGCATGTTGTTATATAGTGCGATTAAAATGGGGGGGGATGAGGCGGCAACTGGCACAAACCCACCCCTCCCCAGAGAGCAGGCAGTGCCCGTTCACCTCCCCAACCATTGCCCAGAACCCTAAATGTCTACACGCTACATATGAGAGTGGGCACAGGTTCCGGAGGTGAGAATTTGTCATGTAGCGAACTAGGCCTGATGTCAAAACCTTGACCTTAAGGACCATATGGGACAGAAACTGTCATTTCATTGATTTGAATCCAGAAATACAGGTTGACCCATCCTGAGACTTTCTTTCTTGAAAATTCAAGTG